GGTATATCTTAAAAGTTATTAATGACTTGCACGAAAATTCGTAAAACTAGATTTGTAGTAACAACGTCATTGCTAATAACAAATATGTTGTTTAACCAAAGTGTTTTAAGCCTGGGGTAATTCCATTACCACTTAGAATAACCCAAAGAGAAGTTCATTGCCGCCGTTAATAAACAAAAAATCAGAGAAAACAAATCAAACCAACACACTTATTGACAATTGTTAATTATAGACAACGTTTGAATTCAGTTGAAACGAACTACATGAGCTGATAACAAAGAGTTTTGATAATGAAGACGTAAAGTGCAACTCGTCGAGACTGTTTGATCAAAATGTTTCTGCCCAGCAAAAATCCCAACAGCTGACGTTCAGTTACGTTGAATCAACGACGCGATGCGGAACATAACAGCAGTTGTTGCTCTAATATTTGCACTCCTTTGGGCTGGCAGCGAGGCGGCTGCTCAACGTCGGCCCGACGGACGCATTGTCAATGGCCGGGAGGCCAATGAGGGCGAGTTTCCCTATCAACTGTCGCTGCGTCGCCTTACTGTGCACATCTGCGGCGCTTCTGTGCTGGACAGCAGCTGGGCGATAACCGCCGCCCATTGCATTGACGGACACGAAAACCAACCGCAGGAGTTCACCTTGCGGCTGGGCAGCGTCAAGCGTTCCAGCGGCGGCAGCCTGATGCCTGTGCGTACGATCTACAAGCATCCGTCATACGATTCCAGGGACATGAACTTCGATGTGGCACTGCTGCGCACCCAGCCTGGCGCCCTGACCATGGACCCGAATGTATCGCCCATCGGCTTGCCCGAGTCGGGTGAGCCGATTGAGGAGAATCTGTATGCAGTGGTATCCGGCTGGGGCTACATGAGCAGCACCGAATCGGTGCTATCCTCTGTGCTAAAATACACAACAGTGCAAACGGTTAATCAGGAAAAATGTCACAACGACTTGAGATATCATGGCGGTGTCACTGAGGCGTGAGTAATGCGAGATATGTCTCTAAAATATCCAATTAATAATGAACTGTATCTGTTTGTGCTAGCATGTTCTGTGCGTCAGCACGTAACACGGATGCCTGTCAGGGTGAGTTGTTGTTAAAGAAGAATTCAAATTATTATTAGTTACAATTAATTATTTTTTAATTATAGGCGATAGCGGTGGCCCACTTACCGCTCAAGGCCGGCTGATTGGCATTGTTTCCTGGGGCGTAGGCTGTGCTGGTGGGTTATACCTCTTGTTTTTTATACATCTTTGTATACCCTTTAATTTGCTTGCAGATCCCTACTATCCGGGTGTTTATACGCGCTTGTCACATCCATCTATCAGGCGTTGGGTGCGCTTGCTAACCAAATTGTAAATTTAATTGTGCTTTGACTGCTAATTAAAACTAATAAATACATTCGGACTTATTGAATTGCTTGCAATGGTTCTTACTCACAAAGTACTCACTTTCAAAATGCGCGCACAACACGTTGCCTGTTATCGATAGTTACGTGCTACGCTTGCTCACATTTGGCACATCACTAAGACAACTTCTTATTGGAAAATTTACGCACACCTCGGTTTCGCTGCGTTTGTGCTTGATTGACGGTTTAATTTAGAAATATTTTATAAATTTATTTGCGATTAAAAGTGCATTTGAACGAAACGAATTGTGCAGACAAACAAAGACAAACAAATCGCACAATACAACGAAAACTGTCGGCACATACGCAAAGCAGCTGAGTGGGAGTGGCAACGGGCGTTAGTTGGCGGCGCGCATTTCTTATTGGGGTAAATGCAAATAAACCAACTAACAAAATAGATGTTTATAAATAAACCAAAACAACAATAATTTCTCTCTGTGTGTGTGTGTGTATGTGCTTGTGGATTTCGCAGCAGTCTCGTGGTGAATGTGGTGGCGCTGGTGCTGGCTGTGCCTGAAAATGATCTATAAGCTATTCTGCTGTTCTGTTAGCCTGATATTCTTCTGCTTCAACGTGCTGTGGTTCTTCTGCAATTTGGCCATACCATGGTGCACACTGACCCTGGTCATTATTTGTGTGGCTTCCAAGTTCGTCAAGCTTCAGCGCAGCCCGAACGAGAAGCGTTTGCTTAGTCTGCTCAATACGCCGGACGACTGGCCCAATTATTGGCCCATTGCGAATCGTGGTGCCGGCTACGATGCGCCCGAGAACTCGCAGGCAGCTGTGAAAAAGGTGCGTGTGTGTGTGACGTCAGCGCCAGTCGGTGGTTGGTTTCGGCAGATCAAAAATCAATAACAACCCCATTTTGGTGTTTTTATAGTGCCTTGCACGTGGCTACCGAAATGTCCTGCTGGATGCCGGCATAACGGCATGCAGTGAAATTGTTATTGCCAATCGCCTGACCGTGGAGCGTGCCGGCCTAACGGGCAGCCTAACGCACCACACTCTCCATGAACTGCAGCAGCTGAGCATCACGGAGCAGCATCCCATGGGGTACGTTTAACCAGCTCAAACTGCAACCACAAGCGAATGTATCTTATTATCCTGCATTGTAGCTCGCAATACGACAGGGAATCCGTGGCCACAATCAAGCAATTGGCCGAATTTCTGGAGGAGCAGAACACATCGCCCACGTTATTTCTGCATCTGCAGGACACCAGCGCGATCATGATTGATCAGCTGCAGAAATTTATGGCCGCAAATGAGACATTTACACAGCGCACAATTGTCGTCAGTCGCTCGCCGTTGGCCATTTATCAGGTATGCAGAATTTAGCCACAGTGCACTATCGTTACGGTGAACTAGTCATATCTGAGGCAAATGTATGTATATTGTGAAACTTTTACATTAACTATATTTATGCTTGATAGCTGCGTAAATTGAGGCCCGAAATCATTTGCGGTCTATGGCACGAGAGTTACTTATCGCTGTCCATACTCAAATCCTCAACGCTTATTACCTCTATTTATGGCGCAATTTTGCGTAACATAATTGCACCTGTAATTGGTATAAGTGTTGTTTTTCTCAACAAGGAGGAGTTCAATTTGTAAGTTTCATACTCAATTTATATTAGCTACCAAAAAAAATCAAAACTAAATTTGATTTTTTAATGATCAAAAAACGGTAAAAGTTGTTTTAAATTTTGGCAACGCCCCAAAAACTAAGTTGGCAAAGCGGTTCGATAAATTTGTAAAACTCATATTAAGCTGTCAATTGTTAACAAGGTGGCAACACTGCAGCTGATTATATTTAAATGTAAACATGCCAATTAGCCGTTACGTGAGAAAATCAAATCAAGTTTTGCGCAAAAACTGACCCAAATTTATATATTTGTATATATGTTTTTTAACATACGAATTCCTTGCAGGCACATTGGCGATCTCTGGCGTAATGTGGGCGTGCGTCCAATTGTTTACATGGTAAATTCGCCCAACGAGAAACGCTATTTTCAGAAAACAATGAAAACGCAATACCTCACGGACTCATTGCGCTCCGAGCCGCATCTCCTGATGAAAGCCTAAGAAACGAGCAAACGTATTTTCAAGATAAAAGCGAAACACACGCGCGCGCACACACACTACAAATCATTTGCATTTAGATTTATTTGTATAGATTCTGTGCACAGTTTGCTTTTAAAGTTGTTTAATTTCATTTGAAGTGCGTACATGAATTGATCATGCACATTTGTTGTGTGCCTAAAGTGAGTTCTTGAATACTTCGAAGCTTTTGAAAGTATTACCCAGTAAAATTGAAGCTACTTTTATACTCTATGTTTTAAACACAAACGTATTTATGTTTTATGCTAAGTTGATTATGCTTTATTCGATGTAGACGCTATTTATGAGGCGCAGGTGCTGCAATTTATATTTGCTACACAATTCCCACACGTCCTTTTATTTTTATTGAATATACTTTATTTATTTATCGCTATTTCTTGTTATACATATGTGTTTTTGATATTTTTTTTATAGAATTTCATATGATTTCATGAAACTAACAACAGAAAACTCTGCCACATTATGTTATCAAGCTTTGTAAGCTAAGGTAATTAGCAACTTGCGTATTAAATATACATAAATATATATATATATATTAATACCTTTTATAGGCAGCTTTTATATGCGAACGTTTACTCTGATATACTTACATTTTGTAGTCCCTTGTTATTTAGAGCCCACAACCTAAACATAAATACATATATATATGTATATATATATATATATATATATATATACATAACTAAGCTTGTATAGAAAGAAACAATCCGAACTACTTAAACAATAATTATTATTATGTATTTGGATGAGCACAAGCTAGATCGAATTAGCTATACGATTATACCAAAAAGCAAAAACCATTTTATAACGATTCAGCGGATTTATAAAAATCAAATAAACGAAAGTAAAGGCAATCGTAAAACAAACAGTGTTTTTATTGTTTAAGCTTTAACCATGGGAATTTTGTAATGCAAGTCGGAAAATATTGGATTGATCTCTGAATTGCCTTCATTCCGCTCCCACATATTGTCTATTGGTGATCTACAATTTTGGAATAGCTTTGGTTGAAGCTTAAATGATTATATCAAAACTATATTCTGGAGAATATAATATATTTTAACTCTATCCGCGCAATGGATTTTTTTCCACTCCCGGATAATCAAAGTATTATCCCCTGCCTTTTCAACATTAAAAAAATTGCCATTTCATTTAAGGTATTTTTTGTTTTATTTTCTTTATTAGTTATTTGATCTTTCTGAGAATCCTTACAAGGTAAGTTATTTGTGTATATCTATATTTATATATATATGTATTCATATGCATTCTGTTATGTATTAATATTACTCATTTATGTATGCTTGAGCGAGTGTCTTTTATCTTAAACGTACAGCTCTCGCTCCGCCTCTCTCATCTGTTTCCGGAATTTTTAAACTTAAAAATTAACAATACGTAGCTACATATGTATATTACCATGCTGTAAACCTTTTTTTTGTACACAGGAGGCATAAACAATAAACAAAAACTTACGAACTTTAAACGGAATTGTAAATATGTTAAAATTATATATATATGTTGATTTATTTACGACGAGAGCGTGTGGCACGTTTGGGCGCCTCGGATTGTTCAGACTGGACCGTTGCCTCTTCCGTCGTCTCAAAGTGCACCTTGCGACCGCGTCCGGCGCGTGTGGGTGCCGGCGCCTCCGACGCATCTTCGACTTCCTGGACGGCCTTGGTGGTGCGTGCAGCACGTCCACGTGCAGCCGGTGCTCGCTTGGTGGCCGGCACCTCCGTTGAATCGATCTCCACATTGTTGGCCTTTGTTGGCTCCGCCACAACGACTGGCGTCTTGGCGCGTGCACCGCCTCGGGCTTTTTTGGTAGCCGGCTGCTCGTCTGCCTCCGCCTCAGCTCCTTTGGCTTTGCGTGCGTTCGAAGCGCCGCGTGCATTGCGCTTTGCTGGCGTCTGCTTTGGCTCCGCATTACCCACATCGGCCTCTTCATGTTGACTGGTGGCACTCTCCTTGCGACTGTGTGCAACGCGTTTGGCTGCTGCTGTCGGCGCTGCGGCTATAACTTCGGCCCCAACATCCACTTCAGGCGCCTTGCGCCGCGCACCGCCACGCGGTTTGGTTACTACAGGCGTGGCCTCATCCGCTGCGACCTTTTTCTCTGGCGGCTGTTCGGCTTCGTCTTCAGCGGCAGCCTTGCCCTTGCGCCGCTTGGGCGTAGCGGGACGTTGCGTAGCTGCATCCACCAAAAGCTCCAGTGCCTTGGCCGTCGGCTGACGGACACGACGTCCCCGCGATGTGGCCGGCTTTTCGTCATCGGACGTTTCATTGTAATTCTTGCGCGGCACATTGCGTCCCTCACGTCGCTGTGAACTTGTTTGATCTGGCAGTACGATGGTCTGTCCAGTGGGCGTGTGTGGCGCCACAGGCTCCACAATCGACTCCGCGATTGTTTTTTGCTTGGTGGGCAGCGGCGTGGAGGGCTTTGGTATGGGCGATGTCCCTGCACCACCCGGTGATTTGGCAGCTGTAGTTGCGGCCATCTTGCTGGCTGCAGGTTTACGCACTCGGCGAGACGAGGAGCCTAACTTATCCTCATCCGATGTTTCGTCATAGTTCTTGCGCGGTAAATTCCGTCCTTCGCGGCGTCGCGGCGTTAGCTCATCCTCTGAGCTTGGCAGCTGTGTTTTTGGCGATGCAGCCACAACAACTATGGCTGGTTCCGACAGCTGCGCGGGCAAATTCTGCACATCGAGGTGCTGTTCCAGCTCATCAACCGGTGTGGACAAAGAGGCTTTGCGTCCACGACGCGCGGTTGCCTTCTTCGCCTGCGGCGGCTCCTCCACTGAGGTTTCCATATGAACTGAAGGTTTGTGACCGCGTCTTGGGGGTTTCTTTTCGACTGGTGGCTCTGCTTCAGCGGCAACTTTGTGCTCTACGTCAGCGCTGGGCTTGCGACCACGCCTAGCTTGTTTCTCTGCTGGCTCCTGCGACGTTTCATCCGAGTGCATTCCATCGTCCGATGCCTTACGACCGCGTCGCTTTGGCTTAAGCTCGGCCGTCTCAGGTGGCGCATCTGTATCGGCTGTGGCTTTGCGTCCGCGTCGCGTTGCACTCTTCTCCCGTGAACCGGTTGCCACGACCAACTCCTGTGCTGGCGTTGCTGGCTGCACAGATTCCGCAGGGATAGATGGACGTCGGCCACGCTTTTTGACAGTGGACGACGTCTCCGCTACAACTGGATCGTCCACACGCATGCTCTTTAACGCCGGCTCGGCTGCTTCTTCAATTATAGCAAGCTGATCCTTTGATGCAGCTTGTTGCTCCACAGTTTCCGCTGAAGCTTTGCGTACATTACGCGTGGGTTTGCGCTCTGGCAGTTCCGCTGTTTCGGTTGTTTCTGTCACCTCTGCTGGTGATGCCTTGCGAACGCGTCGTTTGGGCTTATCTTTGATTGGCTCCTCAATGGGCTTTACGGATGTCACGACTTCTGGCGCTTCAGCTTCAACCTCAGCGGAATGCTTGCGTCCCCGTCGCATTGGCTTCTTTGTATCGGTTGACTCCTCTTCCTTTTCCACTTGAGAATGCGTTTCGTCAATATCCGTGGTGGGTCTCTGTCCACGTTTTTTGTGTTTGTCCAAGTCATTTTTTTCTTCTACGAGTTTCTCTTTAGCTGGCGTCTCCCTTGATTCAATATCCGTTGTCGGTTTTCGGCCGCGTCTCGTCCTCGGCTTATCCGGCTTATCTGCTGTTTTTTCCACAAGTGCTTCTTTCATCTTCTCCTCTTGCTCCTTAGTTTCATTAACCTCAACTGTAGCTTTTCTTACACGACGTTTTGTTTTGGGTAGATTGTTTGCTTCTTCGGACTTCTCTTCATGCGTTTCAGAGTCTCCTTCGATAGCTTCTTCCACTTTCTTCACGTCAGGGGATTTCGTTTCAACTGCCTCAACTGTAGCTTTTCTTACACGACGTTTTGTTTTGGGCAGATTGTTTGCATCCTCGGACTTCTCTTCATGCATTTCACTTTCTCCTTCGATAGCTTCTTCCACTTTCTGCTCTGCAGGGGATTCCGTAGCTTTTCTTCCTCGACGTTTGGTTTTGGGCAGATTGTTTGCTTCATCGGACTTCTCTGCATGTGTTTCACTTTCTGCTTCGATAGCTTCTTCCACTTTCTGCTCTGCAGAGGATTCCGTTTCAACTGCCTCCACTGTTGCTTTTCTCCCTCGACGTTTTGTTTTGATTAGATCGCTCGCTTCGGCTGACATCTCTCCCTGTGTGACAACTCCTGCTGCGATAGTCACTTCAACTTCCTTCTCAACCGTTTCAATATGCACTGTTGGTTTCCTACCACGGCGTTTGGGATTATGCTTAACGGTTTCTTCCGCGATTGTGTCTTTCACATTATTCTCGACTTCGACATCAACTGTTGATTTTCTTCCCCGCCGTGTCGTTTTGGTTAAATCGCTTGTTTCATCGGACGTATTGTCTGTATTGATTTCGATTCCTTCTGCGATCTTTTCAGCTTCCTGCTTTTCAGCGGATTCTTGACTTTCTTCCGTCTCCAACGCAGATTTACGTCCACACCTTTTAGTCCTGTCGTCCGCTTTCCCTTCTTCTTGGGTATCAAAAACTTCAGCGGCAAGTTTTTTGCCACGCCGCTTAGGCTTTTCCTGTTCAGTCGCCGGCATTTTCTCCACTTGCTTTTCATTTTCCGCAACCTCTGCCGTAGATTTGCGTCTATGTCGCTTGGGCTTTTCCATCGGTTTATCATCAGCTTCTGGTGCCTTTTTCACATTCGTCACACTCACATCTTCCGCGACATCCTTATTTTGCTGCACTTCCGCTTTTTCAATTATTTCTTGATCTTGAATTTCGGCAAACACATCTATTGACAAGCGTTCGATCAGCTTGGAACTTTCTTCCTTCACAGTAGGTGTTGCGTTTCTGTTGCCACGTTTGGTAGACATCGGTTCGGAAGGTTCAGCTTCGGTTTCCACAAGAATTGATGGCCTGCGGCCACGTCGCACTTTCTTTGGCTCTTCCTCCATTTTGTTCTCCAAATTTTCAGCTTCGTTTACTTTCTGGGCTTCAGTATCTACTGCCTCTATTTGAACTTGTTCAGAGACTGCCTGCCGTTCGGACCCGTCGCCTACTTGTTCATCAACTGTTACTTGATTTAAATTGTCATTTGATACTGCATCGACATTTTCTATATTCGAAATCGAACTGCTATCTTCAGGCAATTCGATTGCGACTTGCATTGGCGGTGATCCAAGAGGAGATTCAGTTTTTGTATCCTCACTTTGTTTATCCAGCGCAGAGTTGGTGTCAGTGGAGGAATCATTCAGTTCTATAACCGCTTCATCAAAACGTGCAATAACTGTTGCATCAGCAATAGAGTTGGAATCTGCTGTAGTAGAATCATCTAATTCAATCACAGTCGCAGCTACAGAGCTGGAGTCAACTGTGGAATCATCCAATTCAATTACCGCCTCGTTTTCAACAGGTAAAACTTCAGCAGGCACCTTTTCAGTATTCTCCACCTCATCCTCATCTAGTTTGTCTAGGCTTTCCACTTGAGACGAGCTTAAATTTATCTCTTCTGCTGCTTCCATTGGAATAATATCTTCCGCTTTTTCGGATTGTTCAGTTTTCTGTGCGACGTTCGGTTGTTCTGTCATTTTACCAACTCCTTTATCATGCTGTCCAGCCAATTCTTCTTCACCTAAAAATTCTTCAGCGCCAGTCAAAAAATCTTTCGACTGCTCTTCTTTATCCATTGCTAAGCTTTGTTCAATTGGATTATCTGCTACAGATTCAGGATCATTCTCCAAATTAATGACTGCCTCAGCTGTTTCTGGTTCTTCAGAAGCCTCGTCCTCGGCAATCGTGGGCTTCTTCTGATTACTTTCCGCTATTACATTTAGTTCCGACTGATCAACGCCCTCTTCAATTGGATTATCTGCTACAGATTCAGGATCATTTCCAGCTGTGCAGCTGACATCCAAATCAATGACTACCTCAAGGTTATCTAGTTCTTCAGAAGGCTTTTCCTCGGCAATTGTGGGCTTCTTCTGATCACTTTCAGCTATTACATTTAGCTCCGACTGATCAGCGCTTTCATCAATTGGATTATCTGCTACAGATTCAGGATTACTCCCAGGCGCGCAGCTGGCATCCAAATTAATGACTGCCTCAACTGTTTCTGATTCTTCAGAAGACTCTTCCTCGGCAAGCGTGGTCTGATCACTTTCAGCTACTACATTAAGCTCCGACTGATCAGTGCTTGCAGCTTTAACTTGGTCAAGAACTTGACTACTTTCTACTTGAACTCCATGTTCTTTGTCAGGCGCAGCTTCAGCAGTCTCATTTTCATCCGTTTTGGCTTCACTTGAGGCGGATTCATTCAAAATGGAATTTGAAGCCTCAACCTGTACGTCTATAGACTCTGCGACGGGATTTGATTTTCCTTCTTCGGTGTCCTTTTCTGATACATTATCAGCCGTGTCATCTAAGTTTGTATTTGACTCTTCAGCCTGTACTGATGATTCTGGAACCGGGCTTGCTTTTGCCAGTGGATTTTCATTTTCTTTAATAAAGTCAGTTCCAGCTTCGCATGTATCGATTGTTTGGTTGTGAGCTGAAGTTTCATGGTCAGATTTTATATCTGCCGAGACCTCATCAGGTTTCTCAAGATCTGACGCATTCGCTGTTGACGCATCTGAAACAGTATCCACCGTTTCTTCTATGTCGTGGATTTGAGCTAAAGATTCTATATTAGGTGGAATTTCCTCTTTCGGCTCATCTTGTTTGTCATTGGTCGTATTTTCTTCTTCCGTCTGGTTTTCGTTTATGTGTATTTCAAGAGATTCCTGTCCTTCCGTCTCTGCATTCGATGTAAATAAGGAATTATCTTTGTGCGAAGCTTCCACTGACGCTTTTTCTGATGAACATAGAATTTCATTTGCTGTTACAACTGAAGCATCCAATTCAACAACAGACTCATCGAAAGCTTCATCAGTGACTTGCATTTCATGTGCGTCAGTAGCCTCAGTCGAAGCTCTTTCAGCAGATGCTTCCATCATTTCAGGAGCTTCTCCACTAAGTTGTTTGCTTACATTATCCGTTTCTCCCACAACTGATGTGTTCTGTTCCATCAACGACACATCTACATTCATGACTTCAGATGGAGCCGGTGCTTGTATTTGGGGTTCATCCAAAGTATTATCAGTTTGTGCTAAAACTGAAGCATTTAATTCGATGACGGACTCATCTACATTCGTGACTTCCTCATCAAGTTGAGTTGTATTCTTATCCTTATCAATCATTGATTTTTCGGTTGTTTCGCTAACCTGTTCATTGACATTTTGCTTATTTTTATTGCCTTCGCCTACAACAGATGCATCTGGTTCAATCAGTGGCGCATCTACATTGGCGGAAGCCTCAATAGCAGGAGCTTCGTTCGTGTCCACTGAGGATTCTTCGGAAGATCTGGGCAGGATGTCATCAAACGACGCATTAAATTTATTTTTGTTTTCATCATCAAGCTGAACTTTCGACTCATTCTTATTGGTTGTACTGCTTTCAAGGATAGATAGAGCACCAGATTCCTCAGAGAGCACTTCAGATTCGACGGATTTCCTCTCGTGCGGTTGTATTTGTGCCTTCTTTTCCCCATTGTCAGATTCGCTGCATGCTTCAAAAGCAAGCAGCGCTTCATGTTGATCAGTGGAATTCAATTGGTTTAACAATTCTTCGGCAGATCCTGGGTTAGGTTCTTGGATATCTTCTTGAACAACTGATTTGCCTGCTGAGGCATTCATCTCCACTTCCGGCTCACCTTCGATAGAGGTAGCCTCGCCTTTGGATTCAGTTTCAGCCACCGTTGAGGCACTGATTTCAATCAACAACTCATTAAGTTGAATAGTTTCCACCTCAGCTTCATTTGAATCTAGTATCTCACTGGGCGATGTTATTACAATCTCTGGAATTTGCTCCTCTAATTGTTCAATTAGAATGTCTGCTTCTTCTAGTACAGAGGCATCCAATTCAATCACGGACTCTTCTAGATCGACTGTAATAGTTACATTTCTAACAATTGCCTTCTCATCAGCTGGTGTGTTTGTAAGTTCCTCAGCTTGTACATCAAAAGTTTTCCTAGATGCGCTTGTGGAACTTATTGCGGTTTCTTTGGACTCTATAATTTCAGGCTGAGCTGTCGCTTCTTCCAGAATTGACACTTGCGCATTTGTGGCTTCAAGTTTCCCCGGTATATCGGCTTCATTTGTATCTTTTGCCAAGTCATTTTCCAGGGATTCTTTGCATACATTTAATTGAAGCTCTGGACTTTTCTCTTTTCGAAACTCGCCTTTTCCTTTGCAGGAGAGTTCACATTCCAGAACTTCTTCTTTTTCATTAGTGGCAATCGATAAATCTACGAAAGGTGTATCGACGGCTTGCAGTTCATTTTCTAGTTGCTCAATATCTTGAGTTTTATTGAACTGCACGTCTTTATTTTTGTCATTAACTTTTGATTTATTCATTTCCCCAACATTCATTTCTATTATGGACTCATCTTCGCACACGTCTGGAGCTTCAGTTTTATCTTGACGCAACGCTTCTTCAGCTGCGTTTGAAGCATTCTGTTCATTCGTGGACTCGTCTTGTACTTTGCTTAGATCGTGTTCGAAAGATTCTTCTAAGCTTGTGTTAAGTTCATCCTGGCTAACATTAATAGTATAAATTGTAGACTTTCTTTTGATATCAATCTGAGAAACCGTTACGTCTATGTTCGTTGCCTCCAGATTAATCTGGGATACGGTTTGATTTGATGTTTCAAGTTGAACTGATAGTTCTTCGACAATTGAGACTTCAGTTTCCTGGCCATTTTTCTGAGAATTATCTAAGGTAGCTGATTTATTTTCAATGCAGTCTTGCTCCTTGACTGATGAGTTCTCAGCTATATCAAAATCGCATTTATCTTGTGCCGGTTCTTGGATAGATACATGATGAGAATGCTCCTGTTCAAATTGAGTTTTTTCTAGTTGAACGACAGATTTGTTGACATTTGGCTTCTCTAATTGCTCATTGGCATCTGGTACAACTTCCACCTCATCCTCATCGTCGCTGAGTACTAGAGGCTCAGTCAGACCCACCATTGAATCCGTATCAGAAAATTCTTCTAGCCTCTCTTTCCTGGGTGTACGCAATTTTACTCGACCCGTGGCCTTTGTTTCCTCCAATGTCACATCGCACGAGTCCACGCCGGAAACAATTAGTTGCTCAGAGAACATGGAATCCGATGTTTGATCGAGTAGATGTATGCCGCTCACTTCGCAAATTTCCGAAGATTTAGCTATATCCGAATAACGGTCATCGATCAGCGCACTCATTTGAAGTTCCCCTCCAGCGCCAGGCTTAAATGCGGTGCTTGTTAAGGGATCCCGATTGCTGGCATCAATGTTAGCAATTGTCATCAGCGCCTCGGAGTTTATACTGTCACTCGGTTCCACAGACTCGGCTCTTGCTACAGATGTGGACAACGGATCCGGAGCAGTAGTATTAGCTACGCTAACAGCAGTCACGTTTATCTCGGCCTCCGAGTCCTCGACAGTGATGACGGGATTTGTTGCTTCGGTAGTTAGCACATCATCAAAGATTTTATCCAAGTGCAACGTAGTATTTGTTGCATTCAAATCGTATTCAGTGGTGGTGGCCAGCGAATTCTCAAACGTTTTCAGCACAGCGCTGGCGGGCTCATTTGGTATCATTAGATTCTTGCCACGTGGCGTCTTGAAATACAAGTCATGTGCATCGCCCGGCGCTGCAGCATGTGACAGCTCCAATATAATACGGTTAACAGTTTGTTGACGTTTGGGCGTGGCAGTTGCATCATTTGAATTAGATTCCAGTAGCTCCTCAATGTTGCCCAGTATGGGCGAATTGGGCACCTTGGGTGTGCGCATCATTTCGCGGAGTCCCTTGAAACGCGGTGTGCTGCAGTTTTTGGGCGTCTTCAACAGTTCCCGCATGCCATGGTAGTCAATTTTATCTGGTTCATCCGCATCAGCTGTCACTTCATTGCCGTAATCTTCATCCGCCGGAAATTTATCAGCTGTGAAAAAATATTATCATTACTAAAAACATTTTCACCGCATCTAGGTACTCACCTTCTATCTGTTGTGGATCCTCCTCTTCTACTATGACGCCCATGTCGCCCACTGATTCATCCACTTCCGCTGCTGGCTTCGGTGTATGGGTTGGGAAGCGTAGCGATTTGCGAGTTGGCGTAGACAGCTCCTCCGTGAGGCGCCTCTTACGTTTGGGCGTGGCGGGAGCCATGACGTTTACATGATTTTCCAGACTCGCCGAGCACGAGGCACGACGTGTGGGCTTGCTGCACTGCTGCAGCTTGTTGTTGGCCTCCATGGAGGCGCGGCGAACGCTGCGTCTGGTCGTTAAGCCGACTGCACTCTGTTCCACTGAAAGGCGTCGCATGCTGCGTCTTGGTGTTTTTCCTGACGGTGCAATCTGTTCCACACCTTCCTCTGGCGAATCTGTATTCATAAAATAAAAATATGAAAAATACCTTAATGGATAATACTATAAAAATTTGTTGTAAAATGGATATCTACTTTTTCCATGATAACTTATTAGTCTGTGTTTTTTTATTCCAATATTCGATTAAATTTCTATGAAACTTTAGAATGACATAAGGTTAACTTGTAAATATTTAAAAGAAGCACGTTTCAGGGTACTTTATACCCTGTGCTCAGGTCCACACTGTCATAAAATAAATGCCTAGATTCTGTGTTTAAAGACAGATCGTAAAAAAATTTTTAGGATATAAAAATGGCCATTGACTGTTGATGTGGCTTAGGCAAATATCATTTTGCCTATTTCATTCAATTGTGTACATGTTAATTGCATTTTATCAAGTCCTGACTCACCATTATCTGGGGCAGCATTCTCTTCGCTGGTGGGCACCTCCTCGCAAATGGCGTCCTCAGCTAGGTGCAGGTCTGTAATACCATCCTCAGCTGTGTGTGGAATTACTTACATTAGCTAAATTTTAATTAATAAATCATGATAGACCTTCTTACCTTCTTGATATGTTGTTGTTGTGGCGACCTCCTCGCAGATGCTATCGTCAATAACATCAACTGTTGTCACATTGCACACGCTTACAGTGTGTAGATCCTCAACCAATTCCTGGTCTGTTTCTTGTGATCTAATAGATTTATCATGGCTGGTACCTTTCTTCTCAACCGGTTTAAGATTCTCCTCCTGAATTAAACTCTCATTTGTAGGCTCAACTATTGTCGAATGCCCCACACCTGTCTTCAGGGGTTCGTTATTTTTGTTTTCAATACAAATATCTGCAGGCAAATCCTGAAAACCATTTGCATCAAAGGTTCTGTCTATTGCATGATTTTCCGTTTCATCATGGGTCTTATTCACGGGCTCACTGTTTTCGCTGTTTGCTCTGGAAATTTCGATATCTTTGGTGCCTGCTACAGACACTATTTCTGTGCTGCTCTCATTAAGCTCCAATCGTGCAGCATTGCCATTACTTTGGCGTTCATTAAGAGAAGCATCTAGCTGCTTGCTGTTATCCACACTCCTGTCCAGCAAACCAACTAGGCAGGGCTTTCCATTATCTTCATCGTTTATTAAAGCAGCCACTGCCTCCAAAGCTGCTGCTTTCATGGGCTGCTCCACATTTGCGCCATTATCATCTATGGTAAACGTGCGACTCAGCTCAGCCGAAGAATTCAGTTCAAGGTCTGTTGTAAAGGTTTCATTGGCTGCAAGGTCTGGTGCTTCTATTGTCTGCGCCGTATCAACTTTGGGCGAGGCGATGCGCTGCGGTGAATTTTGCTTGGGCGAGTTAAGAGCACGACGTGCTCTGGCCACCAGCTTATTACTCATACCCATGCCGGGACTCAGCTTGGCGGCGGCGGCCAGTGTTTTGCGCACCTGCGAGATTTTGTTGTCGCGCGGACTGCTTAAGCATACAGACTGGCGTTTGCGTGGTGATGTCAGCGGTGCTTTAGTGGGCACTCCGGACTGCTGACGACGGCCCACAGTGCGCCATTGCGGCTGCGGGTGGAAGGGCAGGCGTCGTGGCGCGGTCAGGCACTGACGACGTGCCTCGAGCGACTGCCTGCTCGACGTTGCCGCCGGCGTAGTGCGTTTGCTGTTAGGTGTTGGCAATTGCTTCTTGGCGCTGGTGATCAGTGCACGTTTCATCAGCGATTGCGGCGTACGCTTCGGCGTGGAGGCGGCCGCCAGCAACTCCCCCTTGGGCGTTTTGGCCAACAGACGTGGCTGTTGTTTTGATGATGAAGGCGTGGACGAGTTGGTTATGTCTATGACCAGCGGTGAAGCATCAGAGGATTCATCTGTGGAGTCGACACTAATGATGCCAGCACTGCCGGGCGTATGTTTGGGAGTCACGGCTAATGTGGGCCGCAACCGTTGCGGCGTTGTCAAATCAATTAGAAACATGGATGATGGACGTTTGCCAGTCAGAGCCTTTTTCGATGTGGACGGCGTGCTGAACTCCATTAGATCACGACTGCAGCTATCATCGTTCTGCTCGGAGAGCACACTCTTCGGCGTATTATAGACGCTTTTCGGCGTTGCCGCCGCGGACAGCAGTCCGATTGCTGTACTGGGTTTCATGATGCGCGTGAAGGACTTTTCAATCTTGACGCCCGTTTCGCGTGGTGAAAAGGATGTGACTACCACATCCGACCGGGCACACAACTGTAACATTAACTTATTACAGGGCGTGCTGGTGTTCTCCTTATTCTGTGTCGCCTCTAGCAGATTCACTTTGGGCATCGTATCGTCACCTTCTTTGGCTGGTGGTGTTATACAGCGTTCCGGCTCTGCCACAACTGAAGGCTTTGCTGCATTGCTGCTTGTGTTAAGCTCCAGTTCGCGCGATTCAATCGATGTGTTGCCTTCATCGTCCGAATTGATTGAATATCGAAAACTGTAAGCAACCGCATATAAGTAAAGCACATACATAGCATCTATGAGAGAATAATTTTCGCAAGTATTTACTAAAATCACGTGAATTGTAAAATTGCCAAAATAATACTTTATGTGCTTAAAGCTTTTGAACACATTTTTTTTTTAGGATTCTACATAAAGTTTCTAAGATCTGGTAAAAGCAATCAAGTTAAAGTAAAGTACACTATACAATATTTTTAAGACTATATATAGACTATAAACTAGTTCGCTTTACTTTAATAAAGCACGCCATAAACTTTTGTCACATAACGTATTATAATTTTGCCTGTATTAAAAAACAAATTTAAAATTAAATTGTTGGCTCATTCTGAGAATCATACTTAAAACAGTTTCCACATTTTCAGCAGAAATGGAAATATTTCCCACTTAAGGACTATTCAAAAATATTCAATTTGGAAAAGATACGATTGTCATGTGCGTGGCTCTGGCTCTACTAATCAACGATTGTGTGTATGCTCAGCTATTTGAAGTTGCATTTTACCCATTTTCACATAAACATACATAAAATTAATATATATATTTAAAAACATGATAACTAAAAAATGCATTTGAGAGTAAACAAATATTTGTCGTTTTTATCAAATTGCGTATTGTTTCTATATCGCTAATAAATATAACAAAATAAACGTAGTATTTCTAGACAACAACTCCTGTACTATATTTTTCTAGATATGTGCATATATACATATTGTATTTGTAAAGCTCCTAAATAATAATTCTTTGTACACACATATTTATGTCTACCAAACTACTACATAATATTTATGTCTAATAAAATAATATCACAAGAACTAACAAAATAAGTTTTCTAATCTTCTGCAGCGCCCAATATTTCTTGATTGTTTTGCAAGGTCTTGATTTGTTCTTGAGTTTTCTTGTCTGTCAGAGCATATGTTAGCGCATTTAGGGGTTAAATGTGTGTTTGTCCTTAGACAGTATCTGACTACCTGGGTCGCCAGCTGCCTGCTGCCAGCTTCATGCTGCTCGCTGTTACTTACTTGTGGACGGTGAGGCGATTGTCGAATTGACGACGCTGTCGGTGTGCCTGTAAAATGCGCCAAAGCCAGCCAGATTAGCGTCTATAGCTGAACCAGCAATTAGACTGTACTCACTTTCAAACTGGGCGATGAATTTGGCGCCTGCTCCGGTGGCGGTCGGTCCGGTGTGTTAGCCTCTTCACTTTTGGGAAAATGCCAAGTATATGATTCATTTAGTATTTGAATGCGTGCGCCATGCAGCAGTGGACGCTTGGCCTTCACCTGGACAATCTGATCGTTAAGCAGGATTGGCTGGTTGCTAGAGTGATTGTAGATGGTTACCTAGATGGCAAATGTGAACAGATTTGATAATTATAAACATTCTTATTATTAATGCTACGGCAAATCGATACGCGCGCATTTCCTTTACATACAAACACACACCCACACCCACATCCACACACACATAAAGCAGACGAATGCACACACTGTACTCACCCTGCCAAAGGCGTCGCATTGTATCTCGCAGTGAATGCGCTCGGCATCGGGCAGCACCAAATCGCAGCCCAAAAAGGAGCCCACATTGAAGTTACGTCCTTTCGCTGTGTATGCGACTGTAGTGCCAGCGGCATTTACATAGTTTAATTGGGCGCCATCCAGCGACATTATACATTTAGCATTAAATTTATTACAATGCAGCTGCGAAGAAAAATTTGTGAGCTTGTGGGCGGTGTGAGCGTCGGCGACGGCGGCGGCTGCAACTTTCGCTTGGTGCAGAAGAAAATGAAAAGAAAAAGGAAGCCGCAAGCGAAAAGCAAAGCTAGACTTGTACAGCGCACATAAAAACACGTTTAACACTATAGCTGATACTCGCGCAACATTAACCGAGCACTTTTTCAGTGGACCAAACGTTTATTACGCACTTTATTCTGTGTTTTTTTTTAGCACAAACAGCCCGGTTTTCTGTACAGGAATTCTTTTTGCAAGGGACGCGCGGCTCAGACATGCCAATCTGACTAAAAGCGCTGTTAAATTCAAATGCTCGAAATTGCTAGTTGTGTAAGTGCTGCCAACCTGCTTGCATGTCTTGTTTATGATAATTGCTTAAATTGAAAATGTCTTGTAATATGGCTAATTTACAAACCCATAAATAGCGTTGTAAACGGTTATTCCAAAAGCAATTTTTTCTTGTAAAATTTTTAGTTATTTGTCATTTTCAATATTGTGCACGATATATCGATAATTCGTAGACATGTTCCCAGCCCTGGGTTTGACTGGCCGCCTGGCACAGCAAGTTGTTATAATATAAGATTTTGTTATTCCTATGTGGAACAGATTTAAGTATATTTATTAAAAAAACACTATGTCAAAAATAACAATGAGTCAATTGACGCACCCGCAGCGCGTGCGTTTACTGTACAAAACCATATTGCGGCTGCATCGAGGTGAGTGCAACAGCCGAGTAAGCATAACCAGATCTTAATTCAAAACATTCCGAAATCAAGGTTTGCCCACAGAACTGCGCGCTTTGGGCGATAACTATGTGCGCGATGAGTTCAGGCGGCATCTCAAATGCAATCCCATGGAGACACAACTCTTTATGACCGAGTGGGCTGTAAGATTTACGTAAGCGTGTTCAAGGCTTTCTGATTGCCACGCCTCTTCTTTTAGCGCTACGCCTCCACCATCACAAAGCAGCTGGGACTGCGCGGCAAACCGAAGGGAGAACTGGGCGAGCCACTGGATGCCCAGTCGGTGGAAATGCTCAAGGATGACCAAGTAGTACAGCTATACGAGCTAATGCTGGCCACCAAGGCTCTCAATGGAGATACGATAACGGCAGATGATGTGAGAGGCAGTAATCAATAAATTGTAGTTTTATTATTAGTTATTGTTTTTCCAATATTTTGTATTCGTATTTAATACCGTTCTCCTCCTGCACACCATGTGGCGTGTCCTCATCGAGCGGTACCTCATGAAAATCCGCCGGTATATTGGGAAAGAATGTGTCGCATTCAAACTGTTCTTGGATTTTCGTTATATACAGGCGATGACAACGCGGCGATGCCATCGCCTCCTCATACACTCCGCTGCCGCCCACAATCCAAATGTTCTCTATCTGATCGCACCAAGGCTCACTTTCACTTTCCAACATTTTCAACGCCTCCTCCAGACTGCGGCACAACATCACATCTTTTGGTAGCTCTGCCTTAGACATCGTCGTGCTGAGCACAATGTTCAGGCGGTCTGGCAGCGGTCGCTTACTGGGCGGTACACCAAAATAGGTCTTTTTGCCCATGATCACAGCATTGCGCTTGGCGGGATCGCTAGTGCGTTTCGTCGTGCGACTAAAATACTTGAGTTCGGATCTGTCGATGGAAAATGTTTAAAATATCAAACAAATCCGAATGCGCATGTCTTTGCAACTTACTTGAGACGCCAGGGCAGATCGCCCTTGAGGCCAATGCCAAAGTTTTCGCAAACTGCAACAATTAAATTATACCTAAGCATCTTGACTGTGTGATTCAACTAATTGAGATAATACGAACGCTATCTTTATATCATTAAATTCAAACACAAAAGTTTCGTGGGAAGAAGCAGACCAGTTATCGGTTTAATTTTCCATGACGTTGTGTGCCTGGTTATCTGTCGCCGATAATTGCAGGTGATGTTTATCGGTTTATCGGTTTACCACTTATCGCAAACTTAAGGTATTCAAACTCGGCGTGTTTTCTTTATTAAAATGCCAAATCTTTACATTAAAGTGTCGTTTAGTACTACAAAGATAGATATATTGACTTGCACTTTTACATATTAAGTATATTATTTTGGTCCTCCGATTAGCCAATAGGTTTCCATATCCCCCTTGCCCTTAACTTTCACAAAGCCACGCGCCTCCACTTTGTATCCCACCTCCCGCACCTTCATGGCCGTGTAATTGGACAATTGTATCTTCCAAGGATCGCAGCTACTTTCCATGCGCGAGGCCGTGTTCACAGTATCCCCGAAGAGGCAGTACCGTGGCACCTTCATGCCAACCACACCAGCAACCACTGGACCAGAGTTGATGCCAACACGAATAGCCACATCCGGCAGATTGTGGGCCTTGACCTTCTTAATAACGCGCAACGCCAAGTCGCAGGCGTGTTCGGCATGCAGAGGATTGATATCCGGCGCTCCGGACACTGCCATATAGACCATGCCCACGGTTTCTACCTTATAGACAAATGGCGATATGATCTCCTCGTCCAGCGCAGAGAACACCTTGTTTAAGGTGTTGACAGCCTGCATGGCTTCCTGTACGTTGGTTGAACCGCTGTCGTAAATATTCATTACTTCAATGAAGATGACGGAGACCTCCTCAAAGCTTTGACAAACGTGCTCTTGTCCCATTCGCATTCGCTCGGCAATGGGTCGTGGTATCATAGAGTAGAGCAGTTCGTCACCTTGGCGCTTCCAGGAATCGGCCAACTCCAAGGACTTTTCCAGCTCATCGGAGCGCTGCTCCTCCTTCTCGAACATAATCTCGAGCTTGGAGCAATGCTGCCAGCCTGCCATGACCAGCTCACGGCTCAGGCCATGTGGATTGAGATCATTTAGGTACAAGCCGATACCATGCAACTCGTCCAGATTCTCAATCAAGGGGCTGCACAGAAAGATCAGCGAGTCCACATCCTTGATATAGAACATTTGGCCCTTGAGCAGAATAGAACGAAGACCTACTGAAGCCCTGCGCAGTCCTGTGGCTGGATCGATTTCCTTCGTTGCCGCGGCTGCTTCTTCTTCATCATTTTCATGCTCCTTTTCAAACTCCTGGGCCTTAGCCAGTGCCATGGTCTGTGCCTCGTTCAAGCTCGAGTCGTCGTAGTTTTCATAATCTATATTGAGGGCCGCATCATAGGCGGCTCGACTGTGCCCGGTGCGTATCAGCTCCATCTCAAATAGCACGGTTCGCATCTGTAAAATGGTATCCCAGTCGATCTTGGTGTCTTTTGGCCGCCGGCACTTAAACACATCCATGACATGGGTGCCAATAAAGCTCTTGGGATTAACGCCCGGATTATGCAGTATCCAAGTCTCAATTATCTTCTCGCCAGCTAGCGTTATTTTCATGTCATGATTTAAAACAATCGTAAAGGGGAACAGCTCGAGGAACACATTCAGGTCCACCGATGGCATCTTAAGTTGCGATGGATGGGCGACAACGTTCACACGTTGGGCCATATAGTCGCGGTTGTCAAAGTCCAGGCGATACTTAACTATGACCGTTAAAGGACCGTCCGACAGCTTAATGGGTCCCGCGGTGCCACCGCATATATCATTCTGACTCTCAATAACATAAGCTGTCATTTCCAGGCCATAGAACTCCCTGGCCACCTCCGTCATCTGTCCAATGAGATATTTGGACATGCCTGTGCGCCCGCTGCGATATAATATAACCGCTCCATTGTCATCCATATTGGTCAGCTGCATGCTGGGCGACTTCATCTTCGGATATGTGAACCTCATCTGTAGATGTATATTATCGATGGACTGCAGGAAATCGCAAAAATAGCGACCCGTCGAGCGTATCATCTTGTCATAGCCAAAGTTACTGAAGAAGCGCACGAAACATTTGCCAAAGAAGTTCATGCAAAAGTCAAAGGACTCGCCCGTACAGGCGGAAAGCGCTGCGGCAATATCCGGCATCAGCTTGTCCGGATATATCTGATGCGTTTTAAAGCTATTGTGCTTGCAGTCGACTATCTGGCAGATCTTCCTCCACGTCTCCATGCCGTATTCCTCCTGTATATAGTGCTGAACGCTCTCGTATAGCATTCCGTACATGATGGCGGCTGTGGTTTCTGCAATTTACGTGGCACCCCTGCCAGCTAAGGCAGGATTCGACGAGTGGCTGGGCGGGCAGGTGTTTTTGTGCGCTTAAATTGCTTGCGTCAAGTTTATCTGTAACGAGAAAAAGTTTGCAAGCGCATAATTAGGGTAGCCTATTAGAAAGTTTTTCCATTATTCAAAGCTTTGGAAAAAAACTTAAGTCAATTTGTCAGGGATTACCGAAGGTCAAGTCTTTGATATTAGATTAGGCAATGACATTGAACGTACTTATATAAATATGAAATTCTTTTTTTCATATTTTTTAGATGTTCCTTATGGAGTTTGCTTTTTGATGGCTTACTATTACGTTTGAGCATTGAGTTTTTATATATTATGGACTAGCAAATATTTTATAGTTATTAAGTAGATATTTTAAACATAGATAGTTTATTTTTTTTGTACAAAAAACATTCGACGTAGCCCATCGATCACTTATCTAGAACATTTAGAACATTGATGGATGGCTGATTTAGTTTATTACTTTAAGATTATACGCACGAGTTGTTAACCCGTTAAAACACTGCTGTCAAGCATAAAATTGAGTTAGGGACTTGACAAATGTCAGATGTGCATCCGCAACCATAACATAGGGACACATAAGGACGCTGCTCGATACATAAACTCAGCCAAGTATATCTTTTGCGGCACATGCACAAAAAGTTAAGAGGCTTCGGCGCAAGTATATCTTTTGATTTATGGCTCTGGCAGTTTAATTTGGTTTTACTTTCACGCCGCCAAGACACGCGCTCGCCTGCTTGCGAGGCTGCCCCGGCTCCCGTTCCAGGAGTCGTGTCCTTGCGCCTGTCACGTTCACGAAATAACAGCAGCTCGTTGTTTCTTAACTTATTTCAGTTGCTTTCGCTTTTGCTCTTGGTAATTCTTTTTGTTGGGCTCTTTTATTTTTCAATTTGCCCTTGTAAAACATTTGTCAAACCAATTGAGAAGCCATAAATTTTGCGCGCAATTAATACTGCGGGCATCAAAAATTTTTTGAATTTAATATGGAGTAAATATTTAATTAGGTATATACCAAGTTTTAGAGAGTTTTTTAAATATGTTAATGGCTGGAGCTGGATCTTATATTATTCCCGATGTATACCCTTTTAATGCATATAATACTTATTAATATAAATACGAAATTCTTGCCATGTTTTTAAATGTTCTGAAATATTTAAAGATCGAAGCCCATAAATATATAATTCATTATTTAAAGCTATTCCAACTAAGTTCCTTACACTAAAAATTTAAATATAAATATTAAAGTTCTGTGCTTCTGTATAATACACTATCTACGTCTCTTAAAAGGCAGAAAACGCATATAATATTGTTATATTGTAATTGTTTTAAGCAAAACAGTACAAGAAATAAGAACGAAAAATTATCAAATCAAGTTTCAATTATGTTTAAAGTAAACAACAACAAATGATAGATCCTAATTTTCATTTTGAAAAAAAAAAACCAATTAAGTTTTAAATTATGAATTCTAAATAATTCTCTTGGATTATGAGAATAATTATGCTTTGAGCTGTATTATAAGTAGTTTGTAATTAATGCTTATGGATTTTATAGCGCTGCGCAGATATCATAATATTTCCAAATTTCATAAAGTTCTTAAGCGTATACGATGTTTGTTTTATTAAAGCTCAGCTAATACTGTTAGCTGCTTAACATTAACATTAGCATATTTATTGCCTGTTTATTACGCCGAAAAGTAGCTTTCATTATGCGCCAAAATCCTCACATAAATTCCATACATATATAATATATATTTGTACGCCCTGCAGCAGATCAAACATTTAAATTACTTCCGTGGTCACTTTAGTTTTAAATTTATCATCGTCGACCTGTGCACATTGTTTATTTATAATTTACAGTTAGCTGGCACAAGCATATGCTCCACACACTCTCACTCACACGCACATCAATTTGGCCGGATTTGTCGCAGTTTTGCGTTGTTTAACACTGAGCTTTAGCTGTTGACGCACCGTCGCTCTCGGCAGCTGTTATTGTACTAATTTGTTGTTGTTGCCACTCCGCGCGTAACGACCATGCTTCGACTTGTGGCGGCAGTCATTCGCATCGCCTTGCCTTGAACTTCGTTCGAAATCGTCTCGTGTGGTTGCTTCGGATGGCGATTTGCAGCGTTCACGCTGCGTCGTGCGAATGGAGTGTGTTTCGTTGGCGTCCAGGTCTTTTATAGCCGACTCCCGGATCAAACACTGCTCGCCATTTCCGCGCACTTTACGCCTTTTTTTCCTACTTGCAAACACGCACTGCACGACACGCCGCACCGCGCCCGCCCCCGTCATTATCGTTAGTGTTTCGTTTCAAGTCAATGTGCTCTGCCCCCTCACTAACTCCCTCTGTGGGTTTGATGCCAATTGACGGTCGCTGTTCGATAAAGCATCAAATGAAAGCGAGTTTATTCTTTGCTCCTTTTCCGTTACGTGCTTATGCGCTCTTTGCGTTTCCTACAGATATTGTCCCTTGGCCCTTGTTCCGTTACATTACAGTGTTACAATAGGGACGGACAGACACACACAAGCTGTGAGGCATTAGTTCTTTGTGTTCAGAAGGGAATCATATTATTGTAATGTAATAGTTAAGAATGGAGCAAATTGATTTATGTTCTATGTTAAACACATTAAGGACAAATAACATTTTAAACTAAATTAAACATTTATAAAAGCCCTAGGCTGTAACTTGTCCCTAAAAAACAATTCCCTACTAACAGTATTACGTGAAGATACATAAGTGCTTACTGCTGAAGATTAAGTAATTTTTAAATTATCAAAAAATTTCATGTTTCATAGGAAACAAGCTCAACTAAAGCTGGCTTACCGACAAGGCTATTAAAACCTTCTATGTGAACTAGTTCTCTCATACCAGCTCCAGTTCCTTAAGCGCTTAGCCCTGTGCTATTTTCTCACAGTTCATGAAATGAATCATTTTTGAAGTCTTTGCCTTTGCCCTCTGTGGGTTCGCTTTGGGTCCTGCTGCTGTGTTTAATACTTTGACATTTTACGCATACCTATAAAACACAGAACACATGCGTATGTATGAGTGTGTGTGTGTTTTTGCGTAAGTATTTGTTATGTCCTTACGCATTTCGAGTTGTGTTTTAAAGCAATTTAATGGGGATTTTTGTCATTGGGTAAACCAAAGCCTTGACAGCAAACGCATCTTTTACCCAAAAAGGATTTGAGGATAAACGCTAAGCAATTTTATGGGACAACATTTGTATAGTCGAACAGATGATGTTGATAAGTCTGGATGGGACCTTAAGCGATTCGAGCTATATTCAGTTAAAATAAAGGCTGAAGGGGCCAGAGATGTCAAATTGCGAACGTTTAAAAGCTACTCAAAATGCTATTAATGAAAGGCAACTATGAATTATGTACAGAAAGAATTTCCTCGAAAATATTATTTTGATATATATACACGCAAACAACTCAACTCGGGCCTTTCGAAATTCGAACCGGCAACGGAAGTTAATTGACTTAACAAAGCTTAAATAGTACGTGCGACTTTGGGCTCCCCTTTGGTCACGCAGAATGTCTTAATTTAATTGCAGTGGCACATCCCAAGGCACATCCCAGGGGGATGGGTGGCCACAATTGCCACTTAAATTCGCCAGAAAGTATGCTATGCTCTTATGATGAGCTACAGAGTCCGTGTCTACGGGCAGACCTTGACACGCGAACAGCTCATAAAAGTTATTAAAAATGATATTCGGATGGGTACGGCATGTCTGTGAGTACGGTTCAGCGACAGTACGTTGCGGCTATGTTACGAACACGGACGTCGACCCATTACGTTTTATGGCACCTAATGATAGCAATCGAGTTCATCAAAGCATCATAAGCGGGCTGTGCGAAGGATGACAACCAGTTTGTGAAATCAGTAAAAAAAAAGAATATTGTAAAAGCTAATATTACGTACGTATTTCTTTAAAATTATTGAAGTCTAATTTACCCTTCTTTTAACAGGAAAAACAGGGTCCAATAGGGAACAATAATTAAGTAGCTCAAATATACCTTGAGATAGTTTTCCTTACAAAACATAAAAGTATAACTCTAGGAATCAAAACTTCGCAAAATTTGGCATATTACACTAACTATAATATGAAATGTAAGAAATAGTTTGCAGCTTTTATTTTACCAACCATTTGATTATAATAAACTCTGAAGCTCACAATTAAAAGATTTGAAAAGAATGCATATACTCTAGTTTATTACTAGTCTACTTCAAGCTATATCTATATCAATAGATATGTCTAATTTAATATTTGTGCAACAAAGTAGCAAAACAAAGTTGAGGCAGGTTCAAGTCCTGGACCAGACATCACTATCTTAAAGCTACGTAGATAATTTGTTATATTTAACTCCCAATTATTAGAAACACAGCACAAAAGAAGAATATTCAAATTTAATGCGATTCAGAAAACTCACGAGTACAGTGTGCTGATTCTTTGAAGACTACAAGTGCACATAATAGAGGATTACAATAGTATATAATAATGAGCATATTTCAAATCTTCAATCTTGTGGGCCTCCAAGCAGCCAGTAGGTTTCCATTTCACCTTTACCTTTGACCTGAACTGTACCGCGTGACTCAACCTTGTAGCCCACATCTCGCACTTTCTCGGCCGTATAGGTGGACAATTGTATCTTCCACGGATCGCAGCTGCTCTCCATGCGCGAGGCCGTGTTCACAGTATCCCCAAAGAGGCAGTACCGCGGCACCTTTAGACCAACCACCCCCGCCACCACGGGACCAGAGTTGATGCCGACGCGAATAGCCACATCTGGCAAATGTTGGGACTTCACCTTCTTGATGACTCGCATTGCCAAGTCGCAGGCGTGCTCGGCATGCAGAGGATTGATATCCGGCGCTCCGGACACTGCCATATAGACCATGCCCACGGTTTCTACCTTATAGACAAATGGCGATATGATCTCCTCGTCCAGCGCAGAGAACACCTTGTTTAAGGCGTTGACAGCCTGCATGGCTTCCTGTACGTTGGTTGAACCGCTGTCGTAGATATTCATGACCTCCATGAAAATGACGGAAACTTCTTCAAAGCTCTGGCAGACGTGCTCATGACCCATGCGCATACGTTCCGCAATGGGTCGTGGTATCATGGAGTACAGTAGATCATCTCCTTGGCGCTTCCAGGAATCGGCCAACTGCAAGGACTTTTCCAGCTCATCGGATCGCTGCTCCTCCTTCTCAAACATCATTTCTAGCTTGGAGCAATGCTGCCAGCCTGCCATGACCAGCTCACGGCTCAGGCCATGTGGATTGAGATCATTCAGGTACAAGCCGATACCATGCAACTCGTCCAGATTCTCAATCAAGGGGCTGCACAGAAAGATCAGCGAGTCCACATCCTTGATATAGAACATCTGACCCTTGAGCAGAATAGAGCGCAGGCCCTGTGAAGCACGACGTTCGCCGGTAGCTGGATCGATTTCCTCCTCGCTGGGCTCCTCATCCGGATTATCCGCATTCTTCTCAGTTAATTCCTTGGCCTTGGCCAACGCCACATTCTGGGCCTCGTTGAGCAGCATGTCATCATAGTTCTCAAAGTCCATGTTGATTACAGCATCATAAGCAGCCCGATTGTGGCCAGTGCGTATGAGCTCAAACTCAAAGAGGACCGCGCGCATCTGTATCAAAGTTTCCCAGTTGATGGTGGTGTCCTTGGGCCGACGACAGTAAAAGAGATCCAAGATGTGCGTGCCGATGAACTCCTTAGGATTGGCGCCTGGATTATGCATGATCCAGGTCTCGACAATTTTCTCGCCCGCATGCGTTATTTTCATTTCATGATTGAGCACAAAGGTGAAGGGAAACAGCTCCAGGAACACATTCAAATTGACTGTGGGCATCTTCAGCTGTGACGGATGCGCCGCAGTGTTGACACGCTTCGCCATGTACTCGCGATTATCAAAGTCCAGCCGATATTTGACTATAACCGTGAGAGGACCATCTGTCAGCTTTATGGGTCCCGCGGTGCCGCCGGAAATATCATTCTGGCTCTCGACCACATAGGCCTTGATCTCCAACCCATAGAACTCCCTGGCCACCTCTGTCATCTGGCCAATGAGGTACTTCGACATGCCCGTACGTCCACTACGATATAATATAATCGCTCCACTGTCGTCCATGCTGGTCAGCTGCATGCTCGGCGACTTCATCTTCGGGTATGTGAAGCGCATGATCAGATGAATGTTGTCAATGGACTGCAGGAAATCGCAAAAATAGCGACCCGTCGAGCGTATCATCTTGTCATAGCCAAAGTTACTGAAGAAGCGCACGAAACATTTGCCAAAGAAATTCATGCAAAAGTCAAAGGCGGAAAGCGCTGCGGCAATATCCGGCATCAGCTTGTCCGGATATATCTGATGCGTTTTAAAGGTATTGTGCTTGCAGTCGACAATGCGACAAACCTTCTTCCAAACCTCCATGCCGTACTCCTTCTGCACATAGTGCTGCACACTCTCATACAACATTCCATACATGATTCAGCAGATTTTATTGTGCCTTAAAAAATAATATATGGGATTATAGTCTTTAATCACTTTGGGAAAACAAAACGAAGATGCTATAATTTAAGAGTATAATAATTGAATAAAATTGCTGGAAAAGCTCGCAAAGCATGCCGGTTTTATCCGACTGTGCAATACTCTGTTCGCATTGTAAATTCAGGTTAGGTTCGTCGAAATTCTTGTTCGTGACTAAGAGTGTATAAGGGGGACACGACACATGCACAAGTTAATATACTCGGTTTCACTTTGTGAACAGTGTACAAGAATTAACTTCACTGCCCGCATAATATTTGTATGCTAATTTTGTGCAAATATATTAAGTTAGTTATCAGTTATTGAAGTCGAAGAAAATTTATTTTTAAAACTGAAGTGTTTTGAAATAATTAAATTTAAGATTGTTTGTCATTTTATCTACATCTCGATTTTTTAAGCTTAACCTAAAATTAATTTTCTATTTAATTTTCACACATTTTCACTTACTTAATGTTCTGTTCTGCTTTAAAGGAGCAACAGGTGGGCGCTTTATATAAATTTGAAATTCTGATCCCTCTCAATTTTTAATGGCTTGTAGTTTTCCGCTCATTTCCCAGTGGCATTATTTATTTATGGCCTGAACAAAATGTATCCTGAAATCCGTAATTTAATTTTCACAGGCTTCTCTTTTCTATGCGACCGGCTTCTTTGCCCGAGGATGTTTTCGTTGTTGCTTTTGTGTTTTTTTTTCTTTTTTTCCTTTGCCAAATAAAATATGTAATTGTGCGTCGTACCTCGTGCGTTTTCGTCCTGCGAATGAAGCGCCTGCTTTCGCTGGCCAGGACTTTTATAGCCAGATGCCTGCTGAGCATTTCGTACCGTTCGCTCGACCCATTCGTAACCCTTTCGGGCCAAACGCGTTCCCTCTTCGGCTGTCAGCAGCGATGCCCATTCCCTTGACTCACTCGACTCGTCGTTGACAGTGTTTCATTACATGTCATTGCTCCTCGTTGATGCCAATTGACGCTTACTTAGTCGATAAAGTATCCACAGTGAAGTATCCTTCCTCGATTTTATGGCTTAAATAACAATAACTCACACGCACATAATGCGTTCTTTGCATTCTTATCTTTTCAATATTTGGTTAAGGGGTTGAGATACGTTGGGTGGTGTGTTCCTTTGGCATTTAGACAGTCCAAAATGACGAAAGTTTATATCCTGCGTACAGGAGACAAGGATCTACACACAAATATTTGTCTTTCAAAACCTTTGAGATGTCCTCTATGACTTTGTCTAGAAGTCAATATACGATAAATTGCATTCCAATTCGAACTCTCTAGTTTCTTAAGACTCGGAGATCGAGCACACAGGCTGACAGAGAAGAGGGGCAAACAGCATATGTGCACTTAATCAGCTCGAGGCTGTCTAAATGCTGCTTGTTGCATATATATAGCACATAGTGAAACAATTTATCAGCTATTCCGAATAAGTATACTGACTTATGGGTTAGTCTTCTCTCTCCTCGCTCTGTCCCTCTTATAAATACAATAAGTACATGAATTATGGAAGTTAGTTAAATCATTTATTCTATCGTACAAATGTGCAAAACTATTTTTAATTTTTCTCATGTCTATAACTTTATTATACCCATGTTTTTTCTTTAAGGTTATTAAAATTGATAATTAGCAGCAATAACCTGTTGCATCTGCGGAAGATATGGCAACTCTGTTTAATCAGCGTCTTTGGTAGCCGGCACATGCTCTGACTCTTCCACATGCCGGTTGATTTCCAGTCGGCTGCTCGTCTCTCCTCTGCCTGTGCTTGCGCAGCGTGCGCATGAATTAATTGGTAGACGCTGATTTCGTTTATAGCTGAGGCGGCGAATGCAGTGTTAACCATTTGACATAGCATTTCATAGTTAATGATTTAAGTAAAACAAAAAAGATCGGAGTTATGCAACCCTTTTGGAAGCTAACGATATTGTGGATGCAGTTTTGTTATATGTTTACCAGCACTATAATTAAAATGGCGCGAAACGGTTAAGCCTATTCCTGATATATATTTTTAAGCCCAACTCCTTAACATTTTAAGTAATATGGTAACGCTTCGGAATGAAGACATATTTAAAGTTAAAATAATTTTTAAAAATGTTAAATTACCTATATGAAAATTGAATGTAATAGGGTTATGGACAATTTTAATTGAAAGATAGAATTTGGACATTACACATTTTCAGTTTTCCGCTGAAATTTTAATTTGCGTTTTCCAAGCGACATAAAATTATACCTGCATGCACATATATTTACAGGAATGCTATGAAATGTTATATTCGTTTAAAGAATTCTTTGGAAAAGCACCACATAACAAATCACAAAACACTTTTACTAGTGGAATTTATGCGGAGCACAAAAACAAATGTTGACAGTTGATGACAACGGTAAAGCGTTAAGGACGTTATTTATATTAGCTGCCACATAGATAACACATGCATGCATACATACACAAATACACCCACGCACACACAGGGCCTGGCGCGTGACAGCGCACTTAATTAGGGGCCTCTCCTGTTACCTCGCTCCCCGCTGGATGGCATCGATTGGGCAAACAATTCGGAGCGTTAATAATTCACTTGTGGCTTATGCGGTAACAAGGATTCATTTTGGCGGTGGGACAACTGCCACGCCCACATCTACATTGATACAGACAACATACAAATCATGATCGATGTGGCAAATAAGGCTGCATTTATCATGGAAAATGCCCCAATTGGAGATTTATATTATATATTTATATGAATACAATGTCATTTCTGACAATTACAAAAGGCTAAGCTTTCAATCCAGCCTATTTGCCCAGGCCCACTTTGTTGAAGAGCTTGTCCTTGACAATTTGTGCCATCAGGCCGTGTATGAGCTCAATTGTGGAGCGGCTGCAGTCGCGCGTTGCCTTGGACAGTTTATCCTCGGATCGCTTCTCATTGACATCAGTGCCTGTAAAGCGAATTGCTATTATAAAATACAAATGAAAAAATTGAAAAGAACCAAGTGTATGTACCGCGACCTAAAAAGTTTTCACTTTGTTCCAGCTTCTCAGACAAGTCCATGATTTGGCCGGTCGTGTACTCGGTATTAGTTAGGAGACCGGAGCTGCCCAACGTATTCACCCAATACTTGTTCCACAGTGAATCGAGCAGTTTGCGATCCAAATCGGACTTAAAATAGCTTATTTCCAGCGGATAGTATTGCTTGCAATGAACTCCAAAATCCTCAATCTTGTTTAGCGGTATCGTTTGATATTCGGATGGCTCCTCATTTGGTGGCTTGTAGCCCTTTGGATATGTGCGGAATGCACCGAGGCATACCTTGCCAGCGGAGACGGTGCGCACCGGATCCACGACAATGGCTACGAATGGCTCCTGGTAGGTCTGATTGAGCATCTGGGTGGACACATCGATCCCCGACAACCAGCAGCCATAGCCTGGGTGGCTGTGATACCAGCCAACGGCGTGCTCCAACCGTCCAACTTCTTTGGCTGCCTCCATATAGGCGGTCATGTACTCATAGGCCTGTGCCTGGGCATTAACGCGCGTCTCAGTGCCCTCAACGGGAAGCGCAAATGCGTCCATCACAATCTGCAATTAAATTTATTTCATGCTGTAACAGTCGGACAGTCGGACAGTTGGACAGTGGGAACTGGTGAATATTCTAATTACCATTGTGTTGTCCTCCACTTTGCCCAACATTAGGCCCATAATTTCCAATGTGCCACCGGAGCGAGCGTGCATGACCATCTTGAGCAGTGCGAGAGCCGATATTTTAATGTCCTTAAAGTAATGTGGATCTTTCTCCCAGGGCTTGGCGTCAATTATCTGGCGCTGTTGTTCGGCATCATAACGAAAAATATCATCGCAGCTGGGCAACGTTTGTATATTATTTTCCAGCTCCCATTTCTTTTGTGCAGCGTCAACATCCATTTTAAAGTTTATTTATGCTTCTATTTTTCCGGCTCGACGATTCTTTATGTTACTGCTATTGTACTCAAAAGTGTGCACCTAAATGTGGCAACGCTGTGCCGCATTAACAGACGACTCTATGCGTTAACACTGTTCATATTTGCGCCAGTTATCGATAATTCTTTTTGCGTTAACAGCTCATTTTACTCTCGTTACGAGAGTCTCGTATACACCGCTTACTAAGCAGCAATATTAAATAAAGTTGCACCGAACTTACAAATTACGAGCTTAGCATACATATGCATATGCATGCGTGAGCCACATTTCTGTAAGGGCATTTGATAGTGTACTTTTGTCTGTTAAGGCGATTTTGGGTGTATTTATATTGTAGTCTCGTGACTTTCGTCAGCTGACATTTTACTTGGTGTAAGACAAAGCACTGATTAAACGTAACACGCAATTAACGTAACAGAAAATTAAACGTAACAGAAGTACAATGGCTTTGCATTCGGCAATCAAAGGAAAGTTGATCTCTGTTATAGGGGACGAGGACACTTGTGTGGGATTTCTTCTTGGAGGTATTGGTGAAATCAATAAAAATCGTCATCCGAATTTTATGGTCGTTGATAAAAATACCGCAGTGAGCGAAATTGAAGATTGCTTTAAGCGTTTCTTAAAACGCGATGACATCGACATCATCTTGATAAATCAAACATATGCCGAACTTATTCGTCACATAATCGATGCACACACCTCGCCAGTGCCAGCAGTTCTTGAAATCCCATCAAAGGATCATCCCTACGATGCCAGTAAGGACTCTATTTTACGACGTGCACGAGGCATGTTTAATCCCGAGGATTTGGTACGCTGAATTATAAAATTGTTGCGCTACATATATTTAAACTTGTTCAATGTTTTATAATACCTTTAACCAAAGTGTTAAATCTTGCAAATTGTATGTTGAAAGTATTAAAGCACAAGTGAAAATTATAAAAACTTAAAATACCGAATCTTATATCTGGACATATTATTTAAACATATATTTAAGGCATACATTTATTTATCTTTATCTAATGCATCGACAACTAGTTTCAAAATATTTCTCTTTAGTTGATCAGCTATTTGTGGTTTAAGCTGGCGCATTTGATCTGCCACAAAATCGCCAAAAATTTGGGGGGAATTATGATTATGATTTGTCTCGGGCGGAGAATCTGTTTTATCCGATTTGCTGCGATCATTCACCTCTGGCGATTTGTTCAGCTCCTCTTTGGTCTTAACTCCATGCGTGGACGTGGAAAACGAACTAGAGCAGGTGTCCAAATCATCCATGAAATGCATATGGCTCTGTGAAAGGGGACGTTTGATAGATATTGTATCATTGCTGTCATTCAAACCAAGGTTTATCTGGAATTTAGTTAAAAGAGTTCTCCTATATAGCACCATTTATATACATATAAGTGTGCTAACCTACCGAATTGCCTTTGGACTTGCGAGGCTCGCAGACATTTTGCAGAAAACTTAAAGATTCAAAGTATTGCCATTTGACTTCAATGTTATGATTCGCCTTGGCCTGGTAGCTTCTGTATTGGTTACGCAGATTATCCCACTTGGCCTTGCAGTCGGGCGTTGTGCGATCCAGCGTTTTGGCAATAGATTGAAATGTGTTCTCCCGCAACTTGCTATCTTTGTGGTTTGATTTGCTGGGATCCCACAGGACTTTGCGCTGCTCAACCAGGTGAATTAGCAATCGGACATCGTTTGGTAACCACTCCCGTTCGATTTTTCGTATCCTACGCGGACGTTTAGTTCCGCTTGTCTCCTGGAATATGCTTCATATGGTTAAGAACAATTTCATTAAAAACCAATTGTAAAATTACCCAATTCAGGAATTCATTATTTCGCGACTCCATTTTTGTTATGCTTGTTATCTGGCAATAAATGTATGGCCGCACGCGCTTGAACAGCGCTGCCAGACTTAATCCGGAACGCAGACATTTTTGTATGGCAACATCTGGCTAGGTAGTTGCCAGATCCGTGTTGTCAGCTAATAACAAAAACTGGCACAACTTGGCCAGTTAGATATTAAATTAAATTTCAATGTAATACAAATATGAAGTAAAATCAAATTGTTTATTTCCAGTTTCCCTTGTTAGTAAATTCAAAACAAACCGACTTTTATAGCCACCTGCATGTAGCGCGGCGCTGCCAGACTTGGTCACATTCTCGTCCGACGTCCGTGCGTGATGCTAGTAAATTTATGTTCATACATGTATGGCAGCCGACAACAAAATATGGCACAGAATTGCCGGCTCTTGGTATTAAATAAAATAAACAGATGGCGCCACTAACTTTACAATTCCACATATTTTTTTATTGTTTATATATATATATTTATATATATATATATACATATACATATATAATTAATCACATGTGCTGAATCTACATAGAAGGGAAAACTTAAGGCCAATTGTAATAATTGTACAACTGAGTACAGAACTTGCCGCTACAGAATCAAAAAATCAACCAGTAATAAATACATACACTTGAATTAACTTTGGCTAACTATTGCACGCCACATCGCTCCGTTGAATGGCTGAGCTCTCCCCTTCTTTCTCTATATTTTTCTCAATATGTACCTTATCTTACCAAGCACCAAGTGAAAGGTGGCGGAGGGGTCTTAACTTAACATTTTCGTCGTCTCTTTCAAATTTCGTGTCTTTGTTAGGGCGCATAATAAAAAATGTATCAACAACTTGGTACACATAATTGTGTTTGTTATTGAGCTGCCGCTGGCGGTTGCTCCCCTGCGTCCTGGGCTTGATTGTGCTCTGGCTCTGGTTCTAGCGGCTGTCCCTCGCCGCCCCACATAAAGCCGCCAGGACGATCCTCTGCAGGTGCTTGAAAATTGCGTTCGATGTGCTCGTTGAAAATCCTCTTACTGCAAAATACAAATTAAATGAGTTTTAGATTTGGGCTATATATGACCAGGCCCGAACAGAACCACTTTGTAGCTTACAGAAAATATGGCGTCTTGATCAGTCGAAAGCCGTTGGACAGCTGCGGATAAACATCTTCCAACACATAGTAGATGTGGCCAACGCCCATGCCAATGATGTCCACCCAAACGGTGTTGCCCAAAATCATAGAACAGCATAGCAGCACCCAAGGCAGATATGGCGCCTGTTGCACGCGGACAGCAAGATAGATACAAATTATACAATATTTCAATGAAATAGCAATGTTTTTAAAGCACATGCCTGAAAGTTGAGCACGCCGAAAAAGTTCATGGGCACCATAGGATTTCGTCTGGACCACACATAGACCAGCATTAACGTAAATGCCTGGCCGAGGAACAACAGGTTGACAAAGATGCCAAAGAAGGTCATTAGCACGCCGCCAAATACGAACATCATCACGAAATCGGAGCTGCGACCGCGGAATGAGCCATCCTCCAGCATGCGGCAATAGCGATATGTGAATACCATATTAAAAAAGAAACTAATGCCAATGGTGCCGAAGTATAGGAATGTGGTGGCCAGACGCCAAATTTGAAATTTTCGCACTATCAATGTGGGATTAAAGTACAGCTGCAGCGGCGACACCAGATCCAAGTGCTGGCAAGAAAAGATAGAGAACAAATATCAGATTCAGGGTACACGTCAGCGCCGATCTGCAAATTATTTGCAAAGGACTAACCACCGCAAGCGTTGTGAGCACGCAGACCGTGGTATAGGCCCGGGTGACTATGGGTATATCCATGTAGAACTGACGCAGTGCATTCATCCTTGGGCTGTTTTGTGGGTGAGTCTGTTTTGAGAGTAGTTGAACCAGTTGCTGTTGTGCGTTTTGTGGTTGGCGCTTTGGAAGCGCAAGCGTTCACATCTGCTGCAGCTAAGCGTCCTATCCTGGTTGATTGTGGCTTTCAGGAACTGACAGATAGACAAGTTGTGAGCTCTGGAGTCGGTTTTTCAATTTATATTATTGTTTCCTTTATTTTTTTATTTTTGCTGCTCTGTAGCGATAGAAATAATATTATTATCGTATATCGTTAGGCATATATATCGCACCCACAGCTTCACAGAGTGTGACCTTCCATCTGGTGATTATATTCTATCGGAATAATTTTTGTATTAACTCTATATTATGACATACAGCTCAACTTTTATTATTAACTCAAACTGTAATTTAAAGTCACAAGAACATTGTATAAGAAAATTTGCAACCAACCAACTAACAAAAGCTTGTACATATCATAAAGCTAACAACCAAATTAAGGAATACCTCTAGTAAGGCAATATCGCATATGCTAAGCACTTAAAATATCGATAGGACTCATATCTCACTCACAAAAAATCATCGACATACCAGCGCTCATTATTCTTATCGGCTGCAAAAGTGCTGGTCGCCATTATCGATTTGTGGCAAAAAGAAAAAAATAGAGAATTAAAGATCGCGTTACAGCGTTACGCACCGGTTAAAGAGCGCATTAAACGCGACGTTAAATCGAATTGTGCAGCAGCTGCAACTGATGAATAGTTTGTGTGGCACCAGCTAGTCGTGTTTTTTTCGTTTAATATTTGCCACAACAACTAATCAATATCAATACGTCTCTCAGCCTCTGCTGAGTGTGTCTGTGTGAGTGCGTGTACTGGCCTGTGTCACAGTGTGTGTGTGTGTGTGCTTTTTGGTCCATTCTTTGCAGCACATAATCAAATTAGATTGGAAATATAACTAGTGTAAATTAAGTGAAAGCAGCAACAACAAAAACAGCTTCATCATGACTATGGCTGGTCAAACAATCAACGACAGGCTGTTGGCTGCCCGTCACAGCCTTGCTGGCCAAGGACTCGCCAAATCTGTGTGCAAGGCCACAACTGAAGAATGCATTGGGCCGAAGAAGAAGCATTTGGACTGTAAGTGCAATGCAAAACGAAGAAAACCCACAAAACTTAGACTAAATATGCAAACAAAAGCGAACAAAGTTTGGAAATTAACGGTTAGCTGGCGCAGACATGCTTGGTATATGCATGAACAAATTTGTCGTCTTGTCAAATATTTTGCCATTCATTGAATTACACAGAGAAGCACTTTGCCCTCCTCCACCTGCTTGGCGGCAGTTTTTTATTGTACATTTTTGTGTGATTTTTCTGTAACATACGTATAATATACGTGCGTGTGTGTGTGAGCGTGTTTGTCTTAGGGCCCAGGGCTGGGTTTTCTTCTTTTATCATGCCTGTGTCGCTATTCCAATTACTGTAAACTTTTATCATTTTGTGCATGTCTAACTGTGCTTAGTAACTCACAGCAGACGCTCCGCTCTCCTCATTTACGCCCACTCGATATATATATATATAGTTTTTGCAATGCACCTGCTGCCTCGCCTCAGCTGCTGTTTGCGGTCTTTCCTTTTGGCTGCTTCGTCATTCGCTCTCAGTGCTGTAGGCCTCTCTTTCTAATGTTACGTCACTTTCTCACGGCTGCACGTGTGTAAGATTTACAATGACAGTATGCCTGCGTGTGTGTGTGTGTGTGTGTGTGTGTGTAACAGCATTTGATATATTTTTTGTTGTTGTTAAGCTATGTGCCGTTTCAACGGTGTCATTGCCTTTTAAATTTATGCACAAGTTGTGTACAACAACAACAATAAAGGCTACAACAAAAATTAGGCTCGTCTATGTTTTATATTGAATTTCTGATTGGCTAAGCAACGTGATCTTTTGTGTGTCTTCTTATTGGATTTTGGCATTTTTGCTGTTGCTGCCGTTGTCAGTGTTTGCTTTGACCTGTTTCTTATTTAAGTTTGCCGCTTTGGCACGTTTGCAACTTATGCGCGAAATGACTCATGAGAAATTTTTGTTAATAACTTGTACCGTACATAAACCACCATATACACACATGCATTCATTTTCATGCATATGTGTTTGCATGGGATTTACTTGAATCGGTCCCATATTGAGCATAGATTTACTTGTATGCGCTTATAAATGTGTGTATGTATGTGTGAGTTTGTTGTTGCAATTAAGAGAATAAAAATAACTCAAGTTAAGGCTTGCGGTCATTACATATGCGTCAAGTGTGCCCGCGTCATGCTTCAGTTCCAAACAAAAGAGTGGCCACGTTGACCCAACGAGAATTGTTGCCCTTTAAGCGAAGTATGTAGATCACTAGCATAATTGTATGGGAAGCTTCTTGTTCTTAAGGATTTACCTTTTTTGATGGTTTAAATATTGTTTTGGGTTGGGTTGGTATTTATGTTCATGCAAAAATTAAAATAATATTTAGTTTTATTCTTTAAATACTATAGTACAAAGTTGTTCTACGATTAGATTTTATTTTTTTCCAGATCTAACTCTATGATCGCTGATCCTGATCACTGATCAGCATACTTTTCTTATTATAAAATAAACTATTCTCTACACAAGTCCGAAGTTTGAATTAAAACTAAGGTCAATCAAAAGTTGGTCATTAAAAACGGAAATAAGCTACAATTTAGAAATTGAGAAAGAAACATTAAAAAAAAAAAACAAAACCTGTTCTCAGATTACATTTTGCCATATCAGGTAGAATGTAAAAAAATACGATTTATTTCTCTTCTTTACCTTTTCAACCGTTTTCATTTGCCAATAACTAAATATAGAACTGAATGAATCCAGTTGGAAATTCGTAGAAACGGAGAAGATGAAACAAGGGTTTCGCAGGTAATTAGGTTCTGAAAAAATGCCTAGCACGGTTTCCTGTGGAGTTACTATTAATGTAAATTGAATGGCGAATAATATTCCATTTAGCAGTAATGCAGCAGCAGTATGTTATGGAATTTTGGTATATAAAATAAGTGAGCAGAAAATATTTGAGGAAAGTAGGCTTAAATTTTAAACAAAATATTTTCCATGCACAACAAGTTTAAATGAACATGCTCTGGTTCTTAAAGCCAATCAATTGGATTTGGGTCAGTAAGTTTTAAATTTGTATACCCTGTGCCCAAGCATCTCAAGCTCCTAAAAAGTATTTACACACACTCGAATATATCCTTTACTTTTACTTAGAATTTAGCTTATTGTATACATAACTA